GCTATTAGGTTGGAGGCCATCGCTATTAGTGTGGTTCTTTTTGCTATCAGGTTGGAGGCCATTCCTCCCTCGCTATTAGGTTGGAGGCCATCGCATTAGCTAGGTTCTTTTTGCTAATAGGTTGGAGGTCATTGCTTCCTCGCTATTAGGTTGAAGGCCATCGCTATTAGTGTGGTTCTTTTTGCTATTTGGTTGGAGGCCAATGCTACTAGGTTGGAGGCCATCGCTATTAGGTTGGAGGCTATCGCTGGTAGTTTGGTTCTTTTTGCTATTCGGTTGAAGGCCATTGCTACTGGGTTGGAGGCCCTCGCTATTAGGTTGGAGGCCATCGCTATTAGTTTAGTTCGTTTTGCTATTAGGTTGGAGGCCATTGCTATTAGGTTGGAGGCCATCGCTATTAGGTTGGAGGCCATCGCTATTAGTTTGGTTCCTTTTGCCATTAGGTTGGAGGACATTGCTATTAGTTGGAGACCATCGCTTTTAGGTTGGAGGCCATCGCTATTAGTTAGGCTCTTTTTGCTATTAGGTTGGAGGCCATTGCTATTAGGTTGGAGGCCATCGCTTTTAGGTTTGAGGCCATCGCTATTAGTTTGGTGGCGTTTGCTATTAGGTTGGAGGCCATTGCTACTAGGTTGGTGGCCCTCGCTATTAGGTTGGAGGCCATGCTATCAGTTTGGTTCCTTTTGCTATTAGGTTGGAGGCCATCGAAATTTGGTTGGAGGCCATCGCTATTAGGTTGGAGGCCATTGCTATTAGTTAGGTTGGAGGCCATTGCTATTAGGTTTGAGGCCATCGCTATTAGTTTGGTTCCTTTTGCTATTAGGTTGGAGGACATTGCTATTAGTTGGAGGCCATCGCTTTTAGGTTGGAGGCCATCGCTAATAGGCTATTAGTTAGGCTCTTTTTGCTATTAGGTTGGAGGCCATTGCTATTAGGTTGGAGGCCATCGCTTTTAGGATTGAGGCCATCGCTATTAGTTTGGTGGCGTTTGCTATTAGGTTGGAGGCCATTGCTACTAGGTTGGTGGCCCTCGCTATTAGGTTGGAGGCCATGCTATCAGTTTAGTTCCTTTTGCTATTAGGTTGGAGGCCATCGAAATTTGGTTGGAGGCCATCGCTATTAGTTTGGTTCCTTTTGCTAGTAGGTTGGAGGGCATTGATATTAGGTTGACATATTGTCGCATCTGCGCCTTTCCATGTCATTCCGGTCGCATCTTACGCTCGGAGCTGGGTGTCCGGACGGCTTCGGTGAGGTTGGGCGGCAGCCAAGAGACATTTCCGCCCAGTTCATCGATGTCCAAGTCCTGCAAAATGCCGTTCCAGTGCTCCCTGTGCTTCAAAACATGTAGCGTCCTTGCTCCTAGTAGTAAGGCCAGGAGCCCCTAGTAGCGTCCTTGCTCCTAGTAGCGATGCCAGGAGCCCCTACACAGCACGTTCATTGCCAAGTTTGGGTTTCGTCTCGGTTTGGGTCTGAAGAATGTCTTATTTGTCTTGGTGTTTCCACGAACAACGAACTCTTTAGTGCTCGCGCAGACAAAGGTGGAAAGCCGGTCCAGGCCGTCATAGCGCACATCAGAAACGCTTGCAGACATATCATAGATCCTCATTCGCAAATAAAGCCAAACAGTCGTTGCATGTCAGTGTTTTGCTACGTTTTGCTTTGAGCTTGTCCTTGAGAAAGCAAGTACGGTCAGGCACACACACACATGCACATGCTTATGACAAGGGTTCAGCCGGGCATCAAATGTGAAGCTGGCACAGATGCTTCAGCAAAGCTTGAAGCACTAAAGATCAGGAAATGTGTCCAATTGCCGAGAGCAAAGTCGGGAATTACCTGTCTGCCAAGCAGTGTAAGAAGGCACAAAAAAAATAGCTTGCAGCTTGAGAAATCTTTGCCTGCCACGAACTCTGAAATGCGAAAACTCAGCTGCTGGTTTTACTGAGAACCGAAACATCAGGCTCATATCCCCAAAAAATCCAAGCCTAAGAAGTTAATGTAGAATTAATCTAGGCCCTAGGCATGCGTTGCAGGTCTTAGTTGGGGAAGCCTTAGTGCACCAGTGCACCCTTTTTAACATGCTTGATGGGTTCGTGGTTCAAGGAATGTTTTAACATTGCCTAACATCTCTTACATCATGTTGTCTTTTGGAGTTTCAATCAGGTGCATCCTGGGCACTTCGTGAGTATATGTATCGTTATGGGTGAATTTGTGGGGGAAATATAATACAAGTCGGCGGCCAACACAAGACTATCCATATGTCCAATAAATCAATGCCGTACTGGATGCCAATGTGTTGACCCCTTTTCATAGCTTGGTGGATGGATTGTTGTCACAGTGGCTGACACAATGAATGGATCAACCTGCACCTACCCAATAATACTTCCTTGTATATAACTGTATAGTACTCTTGTGTTCTCTTGGTGGACCTTCGTTTATAATGTCACAAGGAATCATTATTTACATGTCGTATCATGTCATATTGAGAAGAGTTGCTACAGTAAGTATATTGAGGCTAGTATTAGTAACTCTCAGCGATGTGGATGTAGTAACTCTACTCAATACATGTCATATTGACTGCTTCTCTTTCAGGAACAAAAAGCTACTAGTTATATACTAGGGGCTCCTGGCCTTACTACTAGGAGCAAGGACGCTACTAGTGGCTCCTGGCATCGCTACTAGTAACAAGAAGGCTAGTAGGTTGGAGGCCCTCTGCTGTGGGGTTCCATCACGAAGCGACATGACTACCCCCCAAGTCGTGCCCGGACATGCACAGGCCTTGAAGGAAGGTTCACCAGCAAGGGAAGTCCCCAAGTAGGTCATGTAGAACCCATTTCCACAACGGGTCCTCAGCTTCTAAAGGAACAAAAGAATCTCGAATCTTATCTGATCACATTCTCAAGACTCCAACCAACAAAACGCAGTTGAAGCTCATATTCCCAACTCCATAGGTCACATTTCTGCTTGTAGCATCTGAATCCTCTCGTGCCAAGAGTGTTTAAGGAGTTTCAATGACGGACCCTTTCATTCACTCTTGATCAGCTGTCAGCTAATTCCAAATACGACTCGCTGAACAAAGTTCATCTGCTGCCTGGCTCTGGTTCATAGATGACAAACGTCTCACCTCTCAAGCACAGCTGGCTTTGCAGCGTGGCGTAGTCTGCTTTATTGCTGGTTGGCTGCAACCACAAAAAAACAACCAGTAGATACTTGTGACAGCGATCCAACCTGACCTGGACCTACATCAGCAAGGATATGATCACCATGAACAACTGCAATTCAAGTTCTAGAAAACAACAGAGAGTATGTGTGCAAGTCTCTGCCAAGGAGCATTTGTGAGATTGGATGCCTTCGAAGACAGCACAAATCAGCCAGTCTCAACACGTCTCAATTCTGTATGTCTCCAAACCCTTTCCATGCCTCTACTTTCTGGTACGAAAGTACTGAACAGCATCTGCAGAGTTTGGAATGCCAACCCGTGTTTAAAATGTTTGCAGAACAATCATCGTACTTCAGTATGAATTCTTCTACAGTAAATCTGATGGCTCTAAAAACAACAATGAAAACAGGCCTGCAGGTCGTCGGAAGTGTCGGCCTTAGTGTGTGGACAAGTTGTAGAGCATTCTGCAAACATATCCCTGGGCAAAGTGCAGGTGTCATCGCTTCACATGAAACTCTGACATGATCAGATCATCATATTACAAAAAAGGACAACAAACCCATACAAACCTTATAATCTAGCACCTGGTCTAATGAAAGGGATGGAAAGTAGCAGGGATCCCCATTGTGAGACATGTCCAATCAATATCAAAACATCCATTACTTATGATTCGGCACTAGATACTCCGGCCGTTGGCGGTCTCAAAGCCAAGTAGCATTTGTTGCATTGGATGCCTCCAAACATGTCTCAACTACTAGAATTCCAACCTACTAGCAAAAGGAACCTACTAGCTAGCGATGGCCTCCAACCAAATAGCGATGGCCTCCATCCTACTAGCGATGGCCTCCAACTACGTGCTGGAAAAGCAACTCTCTGAGTCAAGTGAACTTCGAGACCACTCCACTCTGTCA